CTCTGTCTATCAGATCTAGTCCCTTAAATCTATTTCTCACTTCCACTGTATAGTCATAAGGGATTTGATTTAGGTCATACCTGAATGGTCTAGTGGTTTTCCCTACTTTCTTCAATTTAAGTCTGAATTTGGCAACAAGGAGGTCACGATCTGAGCCACAGTCAGCTCCTGGTCTTGTTTTTATTGACGGTATAGAGCTTCTCTGTCTTTGACTGCAAAGAATATAATCAATCTGATTTCAGCATTGACCATCTGGTGATGTTCATGTATAGAGTCTTCTCTTGGGAGAGGGTGTTTGCTATGACCAGTGTGTTCTCTTGGCAAAACTCTCTATACCCTCTGCCTTGCTTCATTCTGTACACCAAGGCCAAATTTGCCTGTTACTCCAGGTATTTCTTGACTTCCTACTTTTGCATTCCAGTCCCCTTTAATGAACAGGACATCTTTTTTGGGTGTTAGAATGTAAAGTATAGCTGTGCCATTTCTAAATGGCAAATTAGCTGATATTAATTTGTTAAACCTTTATATTTAATATCTTCTATGGGTCAGGCATTTGTGCCAGGTGCAGTGGTAACACATATAAAAAGCATTGTCCCTGCTTTTCAGTAATTCATAGCCTATTAATGAAAGGAAGGCAGTTCATTAAACCACAAAATATTTTCCAGCATGATACCATGAAAGTGCAGAAATGGAACCTCTTTCGTTGATCTCTGCTTGCATGCTTAGCAGTCACTCAATTTTTTCTGGAATGGTTCATGGACTTTTCTCTGAGAATTACTCTTCTTCTATTTACATGTACTTTGACTGGAGCTGTGGGTATGTGACTCAAATCTGGCCAATCATAACATTATGTATTTTGGGTTACTGCAATCAGCTCAAGGATAATTCCATGATCCAAACCAAGTCAATCTGCTACAGTGAGAAGCAATCTTGGGACACAGCATGGGACATTCTAGGAACAACAGTTATTTGGCTGTGGTTGGAGAACTGGGTCTGAGTTGGGAAGGTAAAGCTAAAATGGTAGGCCACAACAATTTATGAAGGTGCTTATAGCTATGCTGGAGAATTTGGACTTTTTCCTGAAGAGATAGGGAGCCATTAAGAGATTTTAAGCAGGGAGGTCACGTGATCATGTTTATGCTTAGAAAGATTAATCTGGTAGGAATACAAATGATGAGATGGGGTAAGATGAAGACAAAAGCAAGAGAATGAACGAAGATACCAGAATAGTTGTTCAAATCAGCAGTAATGAGAGACCTGAACTGCAGGAGTGGTAGTGGGGATAGGAAGGAGAGACATGATGGTGATGTTCCCCAGAAGACACACCAAAAAGGCATACCATGACAGCAGCACTGCCCTGGAGAAACTGGATTCTGACTGCATCTCTCGTTCAGTAGATGGTAGTCATTTTCAAAGAAGAAAAGCAAAATTCAAGTTTCATTTAAGACCATGTTTCTCAAAGTTTACTATATACACAAATCACCTGGGGATGTGTTAAAATGCCGATTTTGTTTTGGTAGGTCTGCGGTGGGACATAGGAGTCTGCATTTCTAACAAGCTCTCAGGAGATGATGGTATTGCTTGTCTGCAGACTACACTTTGAGTAGTAAAGATTTAGGATTTTTTAAGGTGTGAGTGGGCCATTCAACTTAAAAGTTCCAGTTGGCAGTATATCCAGGCTCTAGATTTTAGAAAAGGGAGAGAGACTGGGGCTTGAGATATTTGGGAACCATCAACATTTAGGAGGTGATATCAGAACATCAAGATAATAATACAGAATTAGCTTTTGGAAAAAAGGAACGAAGTCCAAGGATAATCCAAGGAAGCTCAAGGTAACATCGTAATTTAAGGGGCAGTCGGAGGATGAGGCTTAAGAACATGAAGTAGCAGATGAACCAAATTTTGCCAAATTTTCAATGAAAAGCCTTTAATTCCCAAGTTTGTCATATAAATATCAATAATAGCTACCATTTATTGAGGATTGGATTCTGAATACTGTACTAAGGGCTTCAATTTTCTCCAAAACACAGGGCATAAGGGATGTCATTAAAATTTTTCTCTAATGACACCCCATAGTTGGGAGCCATTATGGGAGGTCCCGTCCGTGACGAGGTCATGAAGAAAATACCGGGCAGGCAAGGCAGTCCGGGATCCCATCCATGACGAGGTCATGAGGAAAATACCTGACAGGCAAGGCCGTCTAGGATAAGGGACCCTCCAGGTTGGCCTCGGCCTCTATCCCACCCTGTATCCTCCCCCCTTTTCTGCTGTTGTTCTTGTTTGCCCTACTTCAGATTCTTGTGTTGCCTGCCGAGAGCTCTCCTGCTCCTCTTTCACTGAATGAGGACCAACTTAAAACCCCAATTAATAAATCTCCTGGACGCTGGTACCCTATGAAGGGGCCAGGGATGAAGGAAATGCTTCAATTCAAACCCTTTTGCTGGCATTCTGGCTTGTTTGATAAATGTGTGCTCTTATTGCACAAAATGCTCATAATTGTTCTAAACATCCTAAGCACAGTACGCTAACAAAAGAAACTATTAAGCATAGGCCCCTTTGCGGGGTGAGAAAAGCTCCACAAATATTATAGCCACAAATGTGCCTAAAAGAAAATAGTTTAGATAGAGATTAGCTGGTGACTTCTTGCAGGTAATTAACTTTTAGACTAAGAGCCTGTTTTGTGCCATATCTGCTGTTTTTGCAATCCTTTGCATTTCTGTTCTGTAAAAATGTAATCCTATCTAGTTCCCTTGGAGATGACACCTAATAGAAAGAAAATAGATTAACCACAAAAAAGACAGGGTTGGCTACTGAAGTTGCTTAAAGTTGCACCAGGTGCAAGCCATAAATTGTCAACAGGCCTGAAAGCCAAAAGATATTATACATAGAGATTAACCATTAAAAAGGCCCTAATAGGCACAGAGCCCTTTGTGTAAGGAAGCCCTATTAGAAAATACAAAAAATATTGTTTTAAAAGTGGTTGTTAGATCAACATTTGAGTGATGTTAATGTGCTGAGGTTGTGCAGTGGAAACTATTGTTAATATAGTTAAAGATATAGTAAAATAAGAGTTTAGCCCTAGTGTAAAAACAATGAGATAATTGTTAATTTTAACCAAGAGTGCTACACAGGGGCTGCCTCACCAGAGCCGCAGAGTCTTTGTGTGTTAAAGTTTTTAGATAAATTTAGCTGAGAATTTCTGCAAAAAGACTGACTTTTATGTTAACAGGATTGTATTTCTATTATGCTGCGACTTGCTATACCATGAAACTGCCAATTTTCTGTTTTCTGCTAATCTCAAGGCCAGAAGATAATGTACAAAAAATCTATGGGAAAAGACTCTCATAAACAAAAAATATACAGAGCACACCTGGTTTCGTGACGGACAAGCTGATATAATGTTAAACTAAGTCTGTGTGCTTATCTGCCCTTTAGAAATGTACCCACTTAGGGTATAAAGGCGATGGTGAAATATAAAGCAACTGCCAGACTCTGCCGCATATCCTGGTCTGGTCTCTCTCTCTCTCTCTTTCCCTAGCAGACTTGGCCCCATCAAGGCCGGTCCTATGTGTCTCTCTCTCGCAGACGCCGTTCATCCTGAGGGTTCCCCTGGATCCTGCTGGGGCTGGACCCTGGCACCCCATTACTCCAAACTGATGGAAAACTTAATCTGTGTCTTGATTAGGGCTCAACACATCACACCTAGGATTGCATGAAGGTTCCAGGGGTCTCACAGTCCAGTACTCTTGGAGAAGGCCCTCAAGTCTTCACTCAGTGTTGGTTACTGCTAATATGCTCCTTTCCCCAGCTTGTTCATCCTTTGCAGGTGAGCTATTTTGCCAACTGAATACCAAACTTGGGCATGGGATCTTAGTGATGGGTGGTATCTCTGATGCAGTCCTACTAAGTCCATTCCTAACTAAGGTCTTGCAACTTCCTTCACCCATTAGGTTTTCAATATTCCCAGAAATAGCAACCCCCTTCCTCTGTTATTCCCATTGATTACCACTCAACCAACCTCAAAAGCCTCTAACCTCTCTCCACTGTGGAAGCGAGAAGTACCTCAATGTGCACAGGTGTTTTGGGTACAAAGGGAACTTTTATTCAGTCCAGGGGCAAGGGAAGTCCCATATTGTGTGCCGAGTGATAAGGGGTAGGATCCTATCATTCTGCCATTTTTCTACAACACTGAGAACAAAACAAATTATTATCTTAATATCTCAGCAAATCACCTCACCACATATGCACTGTCCCATGAGATCTTTGCAACCACTCCATAGGTAATTCTCATTTTCCATCCTGAAGCTTGGATGAGTTTAAAAACTTGTTTCCAGTCAACTGTGTAGGAGTTATGAGATACTGTGCACTGAACTCTGGAGCAACGAGGGCGTGGTATTATCGCAGTTCCTATCAAAATGCCTTGTTCTTGGTCATATGTCAGTGGCAGTCACCAGACTCAACGTCAGAAACTTTACACGAAGGCTAAAACTCTGTGTGCGCCTCGGAGAGAGGGCTGGATTCCGTTAAACTTCACTATAGCCCTATCTCAATTTTACAAATGAGACTTTGAGGCCGAAGGTGGAAGTGACTTGCCTATGGCCACAAAGCCAAGATCAGGTTTGTTGGGTCTCAGTATGGTGTTCTTTCCATCATACCAAGCTGAAGAGGCCTGGGAACAGCTCACAGCCTCGCTCCCAGACAAACTCCAAAATATGACCACTTCAACTTCCGTACTCGCCAAGGAAAATTAAACTGGTACTTGTACCTGAGACTCCACCCAAGTAGCCTCCGATTCCTACTCAGCGCGCATGCGTCAGGCTGCTCCGCCCCAGCCCCTTCGCCCCTCCGGCTTCCCGCCTCTCCCCGCCCATTTCCCGCCCGGATGTCAGCCTAGTTTTGCCGGATGTTGTTGTGAGCCTGGGAGACACGTGAGGCGCTGCTACGTCATCACAGGCACGCTCAGGAAACATGGCGACGGCGGGTGTTGTGAGCGGGAAGGTAGGTAACGGCCCCGGGAGGACACTCCTGTTTTTCTCCGGGTAGGGCTGCTTTTGCTGCTTGGAGGCCGGCTTGGGAGGGATGCGAGGGCCTTTCTGTATCCGGAACAACGTGTAGAGGATATAGGAGAAGATGCCTGGTTGTCAGCTGTTTTCTCGAGAATGCCGGCTCAGCCCGGGAATTGAGAGACCCGGCTCCTACTCCGAGACTAGCTAGGCCTTGGCGCTGTTTGGTCCGCTCTTTCCCAGGGCGAGGGGCTTTTATCGGTATTGCCTTTTCTGAGACAGGTGGTTCCCCTATTCCGTTTTTTTTTCTGGCTCGATTTTCTCTGATTGTCGTTCTTTCTGTCACTCTAAGGACTCCAGGAATTTTTCTGTCTTCCTTTGAGGCGTCACTCTGATTCGCCTCTGCCTTCCTTTGCTTCACGCTGGTAAGGCATCTTTGTCCTGTTCGGGAGGAGCTAAAAACAGGTGCTTTGCAGCTGTGCACTTAGAGGAGCGCATTGGATCCATTTTACCAGATTGCCGAGTTGATTGGTGATGGTGAGCAGTAGGGATGTTTCCTCTCAGGGAGCTGGAGATTTACAACATCCCACGCTTGTCTAAGAAGGCGTTAGTTACGGTATTTATTTCTGAGGCAAAGCTGTGATGTTCCCATGGGAGACTCTGGTGACGTTTGACGGAGTTGGTCATTGACCGCCTCGTTTTTCGTTAGAAATTAGGATTAGGTGCTGAGGGTATTTCATCGCCTAGTGCTTATTCATGTTCCAAGGGAACGTCTTAATACCTGTTAGTACTACCGTGGCATACTACTGGCAACATTTCCAGTTGGAGGAGTATTTCGTAAACAGTTGGGTGCGGTAATGACTCATCTCATACCAAGGACTGTTTACTTTCCGCGGATAGCTTCCTCCGTTCCTTGATTTCACTCATTTTCTTTACGCCGCCCTCTGCATCCCATTTTGAATTGTGTGACAGCGTTTGTGCTTTAGTGTAGGAACTACTAGCCAGAATAACACAATACTTTTACTCTAAATTGTGACCTTGCGAAATTGAGCAAGCATGACTTCTCTGTCCTTCAAGGTCTTTATCTCCAGAATGGATGTGGTGCTAGTCATTATTTCTTGTATTGGAGTTAAGATTATATGAAATGATATAAGCATTAAGAAAGTACGTCCTTCTGCATACTGAATATTTTAAATGATGGTCATCGTTTTCGATCTTTGGTTGTCTTGTCTGTTTTAGTCTTTAGGATGGGTGCTGATCTTCTCTTTGACTCATTACATATAGTAAGATTTTCTATCTGGACTGATCCAATCTAGGATTTTCCAAGAAGGGATCCTTTCTATTTGAACTACAGTTCGCTCTTTCAGGTGTGGATTGATTTTGATGGAACCTTTGAGATGATGGAGCGGAGTTGTGAAATAGGACTTTTTTCACCCTTTCCTTCCAGGCACTCAATACCTTTCATAACCTGACTGCGTCTTTTATTTAACTCTACTTCTCCACCGCATTTATTCTCACACGTTGCAAACTTACACCCATTCTCATCGCTGCACCTAAATTATTTTTTCATGCCAAAGGCTGCCCCTCTTTCAAATAATTCTGTTGTGACCAGTGAAACCTGCTTACTCCTTCCTCAGCAAGTTCAGATCTAGTTAATGGCGTCATCATTTACTTGGTTGCATGTAAAACAAACTTGGAGATGTCCATTTCTGTAACAGCATTCAATCAATAAGATGGTAGGACTGATCAGATCCTACTAGTTTTACCTTAAAGAGATTTCTTAAGTTTGCTGCATCCTCTTCATTCTCAGCGCTTAGTTCATTCAGACATTTAGTCTTGAGTTCTCTGCAGATTTTTCTTCTTTTCTACAGTCTCTTTGCCCAGAATCTCCTCTCTACACAACCACTAGTTATTTTCTAGTGCACAAGTGTGATTCTCTTGTTTTAAAAAAACAAACAGAAAAGTATTCATTTTGTTATTGTCACCATTAAAATAATACTCAAGGCTGGTTAACATGGCATTAAAAATCTGTGTTGACTTTCTGGCTTTATCTTATGCTTTTCTACTTCTCAGTCTTGTTTCTTTGGGAAAAGGAAGATAGGAAAGAAAACACACACGTATATTTGTGAAAGAGTGTGTATATGTGTCTCTGTATTTATTTATTCCTCACCCCCACCCCAAAGGTTCAGCTAAGAACTGTCTAATTAGAAACCTAGGGCAGTGAATGTTAACCAAGACTTTTAGGAATCACGTGTGGTACTTTTAAAACTATGGATGCTGGGTCACAGCCCAATTCTATTGATTAGAACCTCCTGGTGTTGAGATCTAGGATGTAGAGTAACTTTCCTACTGAGTCTGCTTGCTTGAAACTTTGATTCTACGAAGTCATGTGGTGAGGAAGTTAATCTCTGTCATATGGAGAAGCAGTGTAAGATAACAGCTATGGCATGGACTCTGGAGACCCAAGCCAGTTTCAAAAACTAACTTCACACTAGTGACGTCAGTCAAATTACTTAATGTCTCTTTGTTTCAGTTTCCTTATCTGTAATACAGTAATGATAATAGTATCCACTTCATGGGATTTTTAGGATTGATAAGGAAATGTATTAGAACAAAGCCTGGCATGTAGTGTGTAGATCCTGTGTAGGTGTTACCGATTTCCCTGCAAGTCAGTGGTTAAGTATGGTAGAATTTTAAAGGTTTAGAATATGGTTTTTGGTATGAGGGTGAAATTCATTTTTGAATTTCAGTTCAGTTGCTCAGTTTTGTCCGACTCTTTGTGACCCCACGGACTGCAGCACGCCTGGCTTCCCTGTCCATCACCAACTCTTGGGGCTTGCTCAAACTCATGTCCATCAACTTAATCATGCCATCCAACCATCTCATCCTCTGTTGTCCCCTTCTCCTCCTGCCTTCAGTCTTGCCCAGCATCAGGGTCTTTTCCAGTAAGTCAGTTCTTCGCATCAGGTGGCCAAAGTATTGGAGTTTCAGCTTCAGCATCAGTCCTTCAAATGAATATTCAGGACTTATTTCCTTTAGGATTGACTGGTTGGATCTCCTTGAAGTCCAAGGGACTCTCAAGAGTCTTTTCCAACACCACAGTTCAAAAGCATCAATTCTTTAGTGCTCAGCTTTCTTTATGGTCCAACTCTCACATCCATACATGACTACTGGAAAAACCATGGCTTTGACTAGACATTTGTTAGCAAAGTAATGTCTCTGCCTTTTAATATGCTGTCTAGGTCGGTCATAACTTTTCTTCCAAGGAGCAAGAACCTTAATTTCATGGCTGCAGTCACCATCTGCAGTGATTTTGGAGCCCAAGAAAATAAAATCTGTTACTGTTTCCACTGTTTCCCCATCTGTTTGCCATGAAGTGATGGGACAGGATGCCATGATCTAAGTTTTTTGAATGTTGAGTTTTAAGTTCTAATTCTCAGTGTTTTTCTAGAATTTGAAAAATATCTTGTTTTAGAAGTCACGGGGAATTCTCTTGGGGTCAAATGGTTAGAACTCTGCGCTTCCTTTGCTGGGGAACTGGGATTCTGCATGCTGCATGGTGTGGCCAACCCCCCTCCAAAGTCATGTAGTTTTGATGAATGAGAAATCGTCCCAATAGGGCGGTGGTGAAGGAGACAGAGCCTGACTGCTGGGGGTCAGAACCGAGCTCCACCATTGTATAGCTGTGTTACTTTGGGCAGATGTCTGAACTTTCTGTGCACCAGTTTTCTCATTTGAGAAATGGGAGCTAATGATGTAGGATGGGAGCTAATGATTATTTTCCATCATCACGTTGTGGAGAGGATTAAATGAGTTAATATTTAGAGCATTTAGAATAGTGCCTGGTATCAGATAAGTGCTTAATAAATGTTAACTGCTGTTATTATTATTGTTGAGGATTTTTCAGACTGTCTTAAAGTTGTAAGGTTATTATTTGTTTGGAAGTAGTTGAATATTTGTTTTTTGCTTCCATTTTCTACAGAGATTAAAGCTGCCCCAAAATACTAAAGCACTATAATATAAAATAAATTGGAGGGAAAAAAGGCAAAAGGAAAGTAAATAATTGACATATCACTATATAAGCTTAAGGTGCACAGCCTGATGGTTTGATTTATATGTATAGTGAGACGATGACCACAGTAGGTTCAGCTAACTCTTCTTCTCATATAGATCCTTCTGTATGCGGATAGATCTTCTCATGTAGATCGTCTTTTGAATTTTTAGGGGAGAAATAGGGCCACTCCCTGCAAAAGCTGTCCTGCTTTAGGATAATTAATGGAATAAGTTGACATCACAAAGGAGGCAGGAGAAAAGAGATAGTTAGAAGTAGGTTTTGGCCTTTATACCCAGTGCCTATGAGGGTTGCAGTTTCCTTTTATTCATTTACAGAATATTTATTAAACACCTGATTTTTTTCCAGGCACTATTCTAGGCATTAGGGATACATTAGATAGTCCTTACCTTGGAAATTACAGATTTCAGTTCTTCAGAAGGAAAATATTCACTAAAATCCACCCCCTTATCTTGTTTAAGTAAATTAAGTGAGTTTCAGATTTTTGAAGTGATGCTGTTAATAGTGACGTTTGTTTTCATGAGGCTTGTAGACTGGACTCAGCCTCATGAGCACAAGGCCTGAAATGGTTCCCCTGTACCTGGCATAGTGCCGCCACATAGGATGTATTCACTGAGGAGGAAACAGCAAGAAAATAGGAAAAAAACACAAATGAAGGGGGACTAGAGGAAGAGTGATGGGTTCACTGAAAGCACTCTTGTTTTGGAGTTGAAAAGTCCTGTGTTAGTATATTTACATTTCTCTCTAGGCCTGTGTGTTTTACTGTTAGAATTTGGTTCTGTTGAAAATAGCTTGAAACAATTGGGAAGTCACCTGTTGTTTCCTCGAGGGCCCCCCCCCCCCCNTTTTTTAGTGGTTTTCTTAGTAAGAATTTATTTTGTAGCTTAAATTTGGCCCTTTCCAGTTCCTTTAGATAATGTTTA